ATAACATAACACATTCTTTTAACAAACCACAGTCAACTGCTCCAATGAGTGAAGATAAACCAATCAAACATCCAAATAAATCAAACAATGAGGATTAAAAGGGGAAAAGGACATCCAAAGTTTGCATCACTAAAGCAACCAAGCGAAAAAAATCATAATTTTTATCTTCCAATTGGAATCAATGAACAAAAAGATTAGAGAGCATAAGTTCAGCAATAAGCATGTAACATGACTAACATCAGTATATTGCTTAATATTTTACCATATACTCCTAAAACACCATATGAAGCAGTATATCGCTTTCTGCATAAAACTCCTTAAACCAATTTCATTTGTGAAGGCATCAAAATGCATCCCATGGTGAAGCTCCTTGTATCCTGCAATGCAGTCTTTATGCAGTTGTCTGCAATCACAAATGAAAACGGAAAAGGTCATTGTTAGCAAAATATTGATAAGGAAAATTTAGAACATGAAATTGAACAAAAATCACAAATGAAAACGAACAAAAACCAAGCAAAATCAAACAGGAAATCGAACAAAATTGAACAAAATCGAACAGGAAATCGTAAAATTAAACAAAATCGAACAAAATAGATAAAAAAAAAGTCGAAAAAATTGATGACCTAAGTCGCAAACTCGCAGTGGAAATCGAACAAAATTGATTAACAAAACACACAAAATCGCACAGAAATCGAACAAAATCGCAGAAAAAAAAATTGATAAAATTGCCAAATGATATCGAAAAATAAACATCTGAAATCTAATCAAATTATGAAAAAAGAATATTCAAATTTGATGAGAAAAAGTCGAAAAATCGCACTAGAAATCAAACAAAATTGATGAACAAAACACGCAAATCGCACAAGAAATCGAACAAACTCGCAGGAAATTTTTTTGATAAAATTGCCAAATAAAATCGAAAATTAAAAATCTGAAAATCGCATAAATCAAATCTCAAAAATCGCAAAAATTAAAATCGGAAAAATCAAATTGAAAAATCGCAAAATCTAGTTGAACATCATGCGTTTTTCATGAAAATTTGAACAAAATCGGAAAAAAAAAAGTACCTGATTTGAGCAATTTAGGTTGTTTATGCGAAATTTGAACAAACATTCTTCAATTTCCAGCAATTTGTGTTCAATTTTGGGATTTGAGGAGAGAGAAAGACAAGAGGTTTGCAAGTTTGAGGAGAGAGAAAATTTTGGACGGTGGGTTGGGGGTTTTTGGGAGGATATGTGTTTTAATCTCAGCCGTGAGATTTGATGGGTCATAATCTACGGTCTTGATTGTCCGTTTTCATGTTTTTAGCTATAGGCTTGTTTTCACATGATCCACACTCTATATATATATATATATGTCTAATAATTAACTTAGATGGCTAAATAGGCAATTTTGTTGTTAGTGAAGTGACGTGGCGCCATCAAGTGTTAGTGAAGTGACGTGACATCATGAATTGTTAGTGAAGTGACGTGGCGTAATTTGGAAGAGTCTACATGGTGCATGAACGTTTTTATAAACGCCTTTTAATATATTAGTATATATTTGATTAGAAAATTTCTAGTCGTTACAAATAATTTAAAACAGAGATGGTAATTTTGGTCAAGAATTTAATTCGTACATTTTTTGATTGAATTTTTTCATTTCTTTTGGGTCCAATATTGCTTAATAATTGTTGCTTAATTTTTTTAATTTCTTTTGGTGAATATTGTTTCATGGTTGTGCTAAGAGACATGAGTTTTTTTTACGTTCTCTTGGACATCATATCGAAACGCCACAAATTAACTAGATGGACTACTCTCTCCGTTTTTAAATACTTGCTCCATTTCTTTATGTGCGGAGTTTTAGGAGAAATTACATATAGTAATAAAATATGGAGGTAGTGGGGTGGGTAGCTAGAAGAATTAAAAATTGTACTTCCTCCGTTTTTAAATACTTGCTCCACTTTCCTTTTTCGGCCGTTTTTAAATACTTGCTCCAATTCTTAATTTGGAAAGATTTTACAATATTTAACTAATTTCTCTCACCTAGTGGACCCACCACATATCTTCTCTCCTATCCTCTTCACTACTTTTCCTTTCTACATTTTTTTTATTCTTCTATTTACCCCACTACCTCGATATATTATTATTTTCTCCCATTTCTCCTAAAACTCCGCGCATGGAGAAATGAAGCAAGTATTTAAAAACAGAGGGAGTATAATGTAAAAGTAGTGGAGAAAGAATATGAAACTAATAAAATATGATTTATGTTGGGTCCACTAGGTGAGAGAAATTAATTAAATATTGTAAAAGTTTTCTAAATAAGGAAATAGAGCAAGTATTTAAAAACGACCGAAAAAGGAAAGTGGAGCAAGTATTTAAAAACGGAGGGAGTAGTTTTGTGCGGGACGATATCCGGATTGTTGGTAAAATTTTTTGATAAACTTTTTGACTTTTGATAATGAACGACATTTAAATTAAACATACAATATTCTATCGCTTGTTTTTTATTTATAGAACAAACTTTTGTATACATTCAATAAATAGTAATATATTAAAGTATCGAGGTAACTTCTATTGAATTAAGGGTAAATTTTGGACTTTTTTTGGGTAACTTTTATCAATATAGCATAAATACTTTTATTTATTTATAAAAGTTACTTTAGGGTAACTTTTAATTATTTTAAGGTAACTTTATAACGGATGTATATTTTTTTATATGTTTGTTTTAATAGAATAATAGGGTACTTTTTATGGTTTTGTTTGTAAATAGATACTACCTCCGTTTGTAATTATGTACAACAAATTGGTATTATTTGTGAGATATAAAATATTCCTTTGTTGCACATAATAAGAAACGGAGGTAGTATCTATGTTATTATTAACTTGAAATTATTGTTATTGAACTTAAATTATTTATACCAAACCAAAATTATTTTTAATGATTTTATATTTATTTTTTAACTAAATTAAATATATTATAATTGGATCTCATTTTAAAGAACTTTTTTAAACGAACTTTATGATTAAAATAAAACCGAGTTTTATATATGATATTTATTAAAAGTTATGATTAATTTTCTACCTATAAAATATTAGAAATAGAGTGATAATAAAACTTTATATAACATTTTAATCTTAAAAATTCTATCCAAAACTGCTAACTTTATCATCATATATGTCACAACAATACCTGTTTGTCACCTACTTGGCGCGACACTTGGCGAAAAATTGGAATGCCAAGTGTTGTTGTCTTGTGGCTAGGCCGCAAGACCGGCTTTATATATTAGTGATGATATGATATATTGTGACAACTAACAACAACAAAGCTCATTTGTTACTTGTTAGTACTGCTGCTTTAAGGAAGAGCAATAAGCTTAGTGATATAGGGTGTATGTCCCAAGCATGTGTGACTAATGACGGCAAGGGAAGAATATGTCAAAACAGAAAACAACTTGTTTGATCAAGGGCTTTCTATGTCATGGCAACTTTCAGCATAGAATGCAAGCATCAAAGAGGCATTAGGCATGGCGGCCGCCCACCGGTGCATGCTGATACATGCCCTTTTTATTATATTCCATGGACACATTATTTCTGGTACTTCCCACAGTTGTATGTATTAGATTGTGCACTGAAAGAATTATAGCATCATTGACTCATTGTCAATGTCTATTGTAGCCTTGTAGGTTCGAAGCGTGAGGAATGCCATGGCATGATACTCTCTCTGTTTACAAATAATTTTCATGTATTCTTTATTAATCTTCATGTATTCGTTGTAGACACATAATTGTGTTATTTATTTATTTGGGAAATTCTACATGGTAGCCTCAAGATTTCAATTTTTCTATGTGGAAGACGAACTTTTTTCCAACTCTCTTAATTGGCACCCAAGTTTTGAAAAATCAAGTATAGTGGCCTTTTCTAGGTTTAATGGCTAACTTATTTAATTTTATTAAAAAAAAAAACAAAACCACCACTCAACCACCCACTTAGCCACCCAGCGAACCCCACTGCTGCCTGTCGCCGGCGCTCCCCGATCTCTTCCCCCGGTGCCACCTCGACCTTCCTCTCTTCCCCTTCCCCAACCACCGTATCCCGATCCTAACTAGGCCAATCTTGTAACCCAAAGTCACAACCTCCACCCTTCGAAAACCCCAAAAATTCGTTGGAATAATTCGGCCGCCCCTCTCCCATACCTCGATAAGTTTGAGATTATGGTTTCATGTGTTTGGGGAGGGGCAGCCGGAATATTCCAACTTCTTTTAGGGGTTTTCGATTGATGGGGGTTAGGATTACGAAATTGGTTAGGGAAAGGGAAAGGGAAGGGAGGGAGGTCGGGTGGCGCCGACGCCTAGGGAGAGGGTTCTGGGTGCGCCGACGCCAGTGGAGGGGGGTTATGGTGCGTCGGGGCAGTGGGTACGACTGGTGCCGATTACCGTGGGTGGCTTGGCTGGTGGTTTTTTTTTTTTTTTTTTTTTTTTTTTTTTTTTTTTTTTTTTTTTACTTATGGTTAACCAAAAACAATAAAAGTTGCCAAAAAAATAAAAAAATGGGCACTATGCGCCACATAAGAGAGTTGGAAACTTGGAAAAAAATTCTTCTTCCACGTAGAAAAATTACATGGAATCCTTGAGACCACCATGTAGAATTTCCCATTTTCTTATAAAGACCATAATGTGCCTTGTTTTGAAAAGCTACTAAACAACGACTACAGAACTAATCACAGGAACTGTCCAAGGAACATTGAGAGAATGAGATTGTTATACACATGAGATCAAAAGCTCAATCAAATAATACCCATTTTTTGTAAACTATCCCAAAATACAATTAGTTTATAATCTTGATCAAATTCTAATTGAAAACTAAAAATCTTGAAATAAGAAAATCATTCCCAGCAAGAGTACATCTGTTATCCAAATGAAGCGATAGATCATTTTAGCTGTATAACTCAGGCTCTAATTGGACCTTGGCAAGTTTATTCCTTAGTAAGATAAGATGAAGCTGCTAAATTGTACACATAAGACTTCCATAATTATCAGCAATAATGCATTAAGTCCATACCCAATGCCTCTAGATAAGCTCCTGCCCTTGGATCAATAAGGAGGTGCAATATAAAAAACCTTGCCTCTGCGACAAAGTGGTTTCAAATCGACAATTACTTCAACCCAACAAACCAACTATTGTCTATTACTTCACTTCATAATAAAAGAAACACATACGGTTGAATCAATATAATCATGTTAATATAGTTCACTATGCCCAAAAGCCAAAAGATACCGCATCACTCAATTTTCTAGCAAGTTATGATCTCATATGTAGGTACAGAGCTTCTAAGCGAAAGTTTGAACAAAGAAAGAAAATAAAATGTTAAATGTTAAATCATGACTAGAATCTAAAGGTGGGTTTTAAGCCATTCAAAGATTTGATCTGACTGCAAGCTTGTCATTTCATGATATGCATAAGCCAGATTCAGCTCTTCTTCAATGTGATGCATAAATTTAGATCCGTATGGCAAAACAATGTCGCTTTGCTTCAGGGCTTCTCTCCAAGGAGTCACACGTCCATCATTTTTCATATACCCTTTGGCATCAATAAAACCTCTGCTGCGGAACAGTTCAAATAACCTGGATGATGTGGTCTGGTTTAAGCCCTCAACTCTATCACCTAACCAATGTGATGTTACCGGAAATTCAATGCACTTGATCTCCCGAGTTTCAACACCCTTCTTTCTTAACATCTCAATGTGTCTGTTAATCCTCCTTCCCCTTTTGACATCCTTAGGCATGTGCACAAACAGTGTAGGAGGGTAGTTGTCTGGGATGCTATCCATCTTATCAAACAGTCCGCAAGCAATCATAAGAACAATTCCCCTAAATCTTACCTCCGTTGCAAGCACAGATAGAAAATAACCACCAGAAGAAGCCCCTAAACCAACTAGCGGAAATTTCACTAAATCCTGCTTTTCTAGCCACCATGTCATGATTTCTTTCACCCTTAACCCATCTTTTCCGTATGACCAACAAACATCAGTGCTTGTAATGACAATAACAGAAAATTTTTCAGCAAGAGCATCAAGAACGATTTGCTTTTCTTCAGGCAACCCTACACAATTTGGACACCCAGGGCATCTGTCCCAAAAGTTAAGGGCACTGCCACCACACCCATGAGCTATTAAAAGAACGGCTTTAGGATCAGATGGTATTTGCCAAATGACTTGTGTTTCCTTTACAATTTCAACAGTCGGGTTGGGAAGCACTTGATAATCAACCCTTTCTGTTGCATGATCATTATTGCTTTTATCTGAGGCCGAATTTTCCCCAATGCATAGAGTATATAGCAAAGCAACAAAGATGACTAACCCCAGAAGTGCAACAACACCAGGTAACTGATAGTTCCGAACTGATCGCCATAGAAAAAGTGATTTATTTCCTCTTTTAAACATAGTTTATTCGCTTCTCTTCTAAGCAGATCGCGTGAGATTGAGTGGAATCAACATCGCTCCTAAGTAGTGAAGTTGCTACAAACATTGCATCTATCATTACGTATGTATCAAAACTTTACCATATCAGGCTATCAGCTACGATTAAGAAAATTACTTGTATAACTTTTTATGCAAGAATCAAGTCCCATATACTAAAATATAACACATGTCAAGCAATAGATAAACATGGTTTTTACAATATCGAATCGATAACTTAACAAACCAGCCCACGAATAAACAAAATGTTCATATCTTCTAAAACTATTCACAAATCTGGAAAACAAACTGATTCATCAAAAATAAATAAATAAATAAATAAATAAAATAAATAAATAACTAAATGAAATTAATTTGCTAAACTACTAAAACACATTTAAATGACCAGACATAATAGAAATCAAAAGATCAAAGCTTCCATAATCTATATCCAAAAATAATAAACACGAAATTTTACAGCAAAATAAAAAATTTATCTAAAAATTCAGATATTATCCAACATTATGGTTTTTACACCTAAATATTCAACCTACAGTATCAAATTAGGCTAATTACATAATTCAAGATTGCTTCACTAATTTCAGTCTGCGTTAAACGAACATAAATGAGGTATAATCCAAATATTAATTGAAATGGTAATAAAATCAACTAATATAATCAAGATCAATTATATGGTTGCGTCAGTCGATCAAAAATTAAGAACAATGAAAAATTGGAATTATGACAGTAAATTTGGTATGGGAAAAAGAAATTAACCTTACTCAATTGACTTTCTTCTTGATCTCCCAGTTGGATAGCTGCCCCAGAAAAATGAAAACTTCAAATAGCTTAGAACCGTTGATAAGCTGTTGATAATAAAACACCAACCGTTTGATCAGTTGCTAATCACTTTCATAATGTACTTATTCATATTAATCAAACCGTTTTATAATAATTGCAATATTTTTCTTTTTACGTCTATTTTATACTCCGTATTTCACTATAGAGCTTTCAATTTGGGTATTCAAGTCGGGTTCGGGTCGGGTCTAATAAGGTTTCGGGTTGAATTAGGATCAGGTTATGTCGGGTCAATCTAGCCTCAGATCAGGTTTAGGTCGGGTCAATTTCCGTTTAAATTATTCCGGGTTGTTTACGTTTTCGGATATAGGTTGGGTTCGATTCGAGTCAAATTCAGATTGGGTTCAATTATTTCAGATTCGAGTTGTGTTGAGTCGGGTTTGGGCGGGTTAATAGATGGTACATTCGGGTTCGAGTTAGGGTTGTGTTAGATAATTATTTGGTCGGATAATCTTAAAGTTAGATCAATTCGAATTAATATTGACGTGTTGAAGCCGAACCTATATTATTACGCCATTTATAATTTGATCAAACATTATCAAGATTTTATTAAGCCTATATGCGAAGTAATAGAGAACAAAAGGTATGTAAGCTGAACAAATTGTACCAATATTTTGTTAAAGATTGAGGGTTTACAGAACTGTACCAACTGAACGAAAGGTGTGTGAAATTTTATTTATACTTTCATGACTCGGGTCAATAACAGGTTGTGTTGGGTTATAATCGTCTTCAGGTTAGGTACTAACTCGGGTTCAGATTGTTGTCGGGTCGAATTAAATCGGTTGACGGTTACTATAAGATCGGGTGCAGGTTCGGGTTTAGATCATAACGTATTGGATCAAGTCGGTTGTCGGTTAACATCAAGTCGATTCATGTCGAATTACAGGTCACTAATTTCACCCCATTGTTCGGGTACAGATTAGGTTCAGATCATTGCCGGTTCATGTTGGGTTCCCAGGTCGGGTCAGTTTTTGACAACTCTGTTTTACTATATAACTAGTTTTTGGCCTGGATAATGCCCCGGGGCCCGGGTCATTACTTATATTTTATTATATTGTAGTTATTTTTTTAATAATTCAATATTAATTGTTTAATTAGTCACTTTGATTAGACATTAAAGGGAGTAAACTAAAAATTATAAGGTGGAAATATTTTATCCCATCCGCGGTTACGAATTTCAAGATTGAATTGAAATTGAAATTAAAAAAAGAATTTAGATATGCTTGTAGACACCCAAATGTATCTCCCCTAAACCAAACCTAGTGATGAATGCCTTTCACGTCATTTGATTATCATACAAAGTGAAAGTGTGAAAAGTCTAGTGATGAGGATGTTTATATTAAAATATTTCTCTTTCTGTTTTCAAAAATATTTTTTTCTTACCCTATTTATAAAAATTGTCAGTCCAATTTGGTTTGATTCATGATAAGGGTCTGTTAATAGTGTGGTTGGATTGGGCTTGAAAAAAGCTTTCCAATGATATATTATAAGCCCAATTCCGATGAATAATGAGGAGGTTATGGATTAAATTAAATTAGGCCCAATGATTTAAAATGTGGCCCAATGATCTAGAGGAGAGCCTATTATTCCTAAAGTGATTAGGATTGATTTTAATCTTCTAGAAATATCTAGAAGGTTCTCTTTAATTCTAATAAAATTAGGATTGATAATTATATTTTTTAAAAAGATGTTTTATTTTGAATAAAATATATTGAATCTGATTTTAAATCTGCTTGGATACAGAATTACCTGTAACCGGTTTAAAAGGTGATTCAGCGTGTAAAAGCCCATTGTACTTTTGAACCAGCGTAAGACGACAGAGTCGTCGCCTGGCGCTGACTTTCATCGCCTGGCGCTGACCTTCATCGCCTGGTGACGAGCTCGTCGTCTGGCACTGACTCCTGTCGTTGGCGACAGGATGTATTTTATTCCGAATATGATTTTCTTTGATCCCGTGCTATTTTTCCTATAAATAGGGATCGTATTTCCCTATTTTCAAAATGACCCAGAATTCTCTAATTCTACTATCTCTCTCTAAAAACTAGAAGCTTTCTCTCTATATTCTTTTTCTAAACCTTACCTCTCTCAAAATTCCTTACTCATTAGTACTAGAAACACCTAGCCAAGTTCGAAGTTGCCTTCTCCCTGGACGTGAAAAGTTTGATATTTCTGAGGGTTTGATCCCAAATCTCTATTTCTATTATTCTTTAATTTAATTTTTTTGAATTATTATTTTCCTTGAATTTACTATAACGTGTGTATTTTGTTATTAGAGAGAGATACGAGGCATCGAAGTAAGTACTTTAATTGTTTTATTGATCTTTTGATATAGAATTCATGGTTAGATTATTTTATTGATTCCTAGTATCATGTTAGGATGTCTTATTGCTTCCTAGTATCATGTTTAGGGTAAACTAAATTTCTAATATCAAGTATGATTATTATGATGCTTCCTATTTCTTTCCTAGTATCATGTTAGTGTCATGTTAGGGCTAATTGATCTTTGATGTTTAGTGACATGCTAGAGTTTGTTATTAATCTTGTTATTAGTATCATGCCTAGGATCTTGCGAATAATATTATGCTTTAACATGATTATTATAATTGTTATTATTTTTATGATTATTATTATTTTGATGATGATTATAATTATTGTTATGATTTTATGTTGCTTGATATTATATTTATTACTATTTTTATTGCTTGATCACACCTTTTATGCATGGCTAAAGGGAATTTGTACTTGTAATCACGCTTAATAAGATAATTAATAATCTTGTTTAGGGCTAATATGATTATAATTCAAGTGATCGCCAATAATAGTTTTATTTGTGCATTAATATTCAACCACCATAGATAAACAAGTTTAGGTTTAACCTATTAATTGCATGTTAGTCAGAAAGCGCACATGAATACGAGAAGAATAAAGTAGAGGCCTATTATTAGGGCAGGTTCAAACTCTTTAAGGTTGGATTTGTACCTTCATCCCCGAACTTCCAGTCATGGTTCCAGACATATTGGAGTTAACGATCTCATGGGTCATTAAGGGGTGTAACCTTCACCCTGTGAACGGTTTACAAATTCCTAAAACTTGTCGGTGACTCTTTTGCTCTAGCTTCCTTCCCTTTGGACGCCACCATGCTTAAGTTTATGATAACAGTGGGGCTCAAGTGTGGGATTGCTTGAAATATTCCCTACAATTTTTTGGCGACTCCACTGGGGAGGATTTCTATTTTAATTCCTAAAATTTATTTTGGCAATAATTTAGAATGAGTGGATGAGACTCGAAAAGTTATAAGTATTTCATGTGTGTAATTTTGATTAACATTATTGGCATAAGCATAAAAAGGTTCACATTGGAAAGACCATCCGTAATGCGTCAAAAACATAGGATTTTTACACATAAGAATTTAGGGAAATATCTTTCACAACTAAAGTCGAAATAATGCTACGAAAAAAAAACTAGAAAATTCAAGAACAAAAAGCTGCCGAGGCATATAGGAATTAGCGCTGAGAAAACAGCGTCAGCCTCAAACGATGGCGCTGTCGCCTGGCGACAGTGCCAACGTCTGGCGACGACGCTATTTTCTCGCGCCAAATTCTACCAATACCGAGCCAGAATCTACCTTCTTGTTTCGACTAGTTTTCTAGTACTATTTGCTCGGTTTTACTTCCGATTGAGTTTTTCCCTTTTTTCTGAAACCCATATGTGTTCTACATATGGCCATAACCCTCTGGGAATTCACGCTCCATCTACCCAATCGAACGCTCCTGGCAACAAATTATTAAAGTCTAATAAATTGATCAAACTTAACTTAGTATGACTTTTAGGCTTGTCCCTTTAGAGAAAATTTTTGGAAACAGTCCCAGATTGTTGTTCCAGAATGGCGCAGAGATTCGGACTGTGGCGCCACGCGCTTGTGATTGGCGCAAAGCGACGATTTCGTTGTCTGGCGCTTACCTTTAGCATCTGGCGATGGTACTGTCGTCTGACAACAGCCTGTATTTTGTTCGAGCCTTGACGAGTAAGTCTAATCAATTTGCTAAAACGGTTTAATCGGTTTATTAATGATAGTAATCATGTCTAGTTATTAATTAAGTCTAGGCACATAGTTCCATGGTCTCACTTAAGAGTCAAAGTATGTCACTCACATTCACCACTAAAGCACACACATAATAAGTCACATTTTGACCATGTCTAGAGAGCCTTCTATGCGTGTATTTTCCGTCATTTTTTTTAGGGGGGGTAAGTTAGATATTAATCCTCCAATTAAACCATACTTATTTAAACCCTTGCTTGGTATTCAAAAAAATACACCCTATATTGCTTTTTTGTTGTTAAAATCAATAAAGTCAAAGTCAAATTTGAGTGAAGTCATTAAAACAAATAAATGGTTTAATTTACATCGCTTGGTTAAGAAAGGAAGTGCGGTTAATCAAAGACAATACATTAGTTCAAATACTCCTTTTTGACAAACCCATCACTCGGAAAAGAAAAGCTAAGAAGATCATGGCGTTTCAAGCAGAAGTTAATGAACTCAAGATGGATGTAGCCAACCTAACTGAATTGATGAAGAGTATAGCTCTTCAAGTCAATGACCCTGCGAGGCAACAACAAATGGAGCTCATGTAAGAAAGCTTGAGCAAAATATCCAATGACTACATATTAATGATACGTACCATTGATTTAGGAATTGCAATTATCGATTGAGTTTGATTTATGACGTTCCTAGTTAGTGTCTCTCGTAGTTGGCGCTAGTTAGACCTCTAGGAGATAGCTTGTCGAGCTCTTTTGATTTCTCTTACCATTAGTATTCGCAACCATTGATTTTCATATTGTTCCCGAGTTGCTAAAATTTTCATGATTACTTGTTGATCCCCATTCCCTAGTTCTTTATTTGTTTGGTTTCTTTGTTTGTTAGTTGTTAGTATTCTCTCTTTATCTTTGTCTTTGACCTAGCTTAGGCGCATAATTGAGAGCGCTTGAACATTATAGTTCCTTTGGGTTC